TGCAATTCTTGGTGTTGGTGTCATTTCAATTTTAACCATTTTAACTGTTCGTTCACCAATATTAAATCGATACTTTAATGCAGCACTCCAATAATTAATATATTTAAGTTGTGATGGAATAGTAACACCTTTTTTATTAAATGTTCTTGTTGTTCCATAAAAATCAATTGCCTCATGTGCATTTAATGAATCAAGCATATAAACCAAAAAACATGCACTCATTAATCCTGTTCTTCCTTTTCCTGCTTTACAATGAAGTGCAATAACATTTCTTTCATCTGCTTTTAAATAATCATCTACATCTTTACAAAGTTGTGGAATAATTTGATATTCTGGTGCATTATGATCATCAAATGGAAAATATTCATATTCTCCTTTAATTTTATGTTCTCCATCATATGGTTTTTCTCTACAGAAATTATATACTTTATAATGTCCTTTATGGAATGTTTCAAAAAATTGTAATACATCAACTAATGGATTTCTATATGCAGCTTCAAATTTCTCACTTGGAAATCCCATAGCAATAATTCGTGGTGTAATATATGAAAGATCTAAATCAAATCCATATTGTTGGTATCTTCTTTTGGCTTTAGAAACAGCTTCTCTTAGGACATTCGCCATTGATTCTTATATATCTATAAAATATTTAGAGTTTGTTTCTTATTCAGTTCCTCTTGTAGAGTTTTCTTGTTTCAATTTTTTCTAGCTTTTTATTTTTATAGTTTTTTTTTTATTAAAATATAGTTTTTCAATTTCCTCCATTCAATACTTTTCTATCAAAAATCAGTGCTTTATTTTTAGATTATTCTATATTTAGGTTTTAATAGATAGTTTTTTATATTTTAAGCACATTACAAGTTTATAATTAATTTTGTTATAAAAAGAAGTTTCTTTACAAACTCTCTTAAAGAAATTCTTTTAAAGGAGTTGAGAAAAACACAGACAATAATAGTGTTATAAAAGAGAAAAAAGATTAAAATAATATGAAAATGAAACAATCTAAAAAGAGAAGATTATAGAATGATTTAAAGAGATAAAATAACATAAAAAAGAAAAAATTGTTATTTGAATAATTTTTTGATAAAATAAAAAAAAAAATAATATGAATTAATGAGAAAGTGGTTGATGAGTATCTGAAGATGAAAATCTTTTATATAAGATAAACGCTTCAGATAACAAAGCATCCATATCACATTTAGTCCATTCTTCACTTGGAAGATTTTGTAAAAATTGCATAATTTCAGCAAATTCCATATTCATTAATTTAGAAGAATATTTTTCAATGATTGCAACACACACATACAAATGGAATTGACTGAAACCATTACCATCTTCATCTGAAAGATAAGTATCCCAAAGACGTAACCCTTTTTCTAAAGACATTTCTCTTAACAAAAAACAATTGAACCACCTAAATGCAAATTGAAAACATTCAACATTATTCTCTTCAAAATGACTTGCTAATGGTTGGTCTATTTTAATAATTAATTGTTTCATAGAAGTTAGTTGTTCAAATATTTTACTTTGATTACTTGTATAATGGTCTTGAACATGTTCAAGTAATAAAGATAAACACCAATATAAATCAGCTTCAACTTTCTTTAAGTCATCTTCTAAAACATCGTCAAAAACATTTTTTTCTCTTAAAGGAGAATATTCTTGTAATAACACTACAAATAATGGAACAATCAAATCATTAATTCCTTGAACATATCCACTTGCAGGATGTCTTAGTGCCCATAAAAATAATACTCTTTCCATTATTTCTTGTGCTTTATCATGAAATAAAAATGGAACTTCAGTAGTACTTCTTACTAAATCTAATTTAATTTGCTTTTTTGTTTTTAATTCGATTTCTGTTGCTTCAAAAGATAACATTTTCTGTAGAGAGTCATATTCATTTCTTTTCTTTTTTAATACTAACTCAACACGTTTATGTTCAACAGGAATATATCTCAATAAATATTTCCATATGATATATCTAATACTGAATGGTATTCCATGCCAACTTAATTTCATTAATTTTTTTATATTAACAATAGGTTCATCTATGACTTTTAGAAATGATTTAATACGTGCAGTTTCTTCCATTATATCTCCTTTTTCTTTTTGAAGGTTTTTTCTTGTTAGTATTTTTTTGAGTTCTTTTTTATTTTTATTATTTTATTAAAAAAAATTATAATATATTTTAATTAATTCTATTGAATATAAAGATGTAATTTTAATGGTGTTTGTCTAATACGTTCAACAAGTGTTTTTTCATGTCTTGTTTCTTTTGACATTTGTGGGAAAATTGAGTTGATCATATCAAATAATTTTTCCCATCTTTCTTTATTTAACAGACGTTTATCAGTTTGCATAAATTCTATTAATGTTTCATAAGTTCTATTATCCATTTCATAACATTCTGCCCATTCTTTGAAATATTCTAAATTACCCATTATTACACATTGTTGCATTAATGCAGCTGCCCACTTTGATGTCTCATTTAAGTCATAAACTTGAGCAAAGATATTAGCATCTTCAAAGTTATTAAAATAGCAAAGTAATTCTTTTGATTCTAATGGATCTAACCCAATAATTTGAACATTATTATAAACCATTTGAAGAACAATACATAATATCTGTTTTGTACATTTATTTGCCCAAACATTATTTAATGTAGTTGAGAAAAATGCTAGTGAACCAGCAAAACATTCTAATGAAATTGATAATATTTCATTCATTCCTTCAGGAAATTCAGTATTTTCTTTAATTTGATCAACAAGTTTTTCAATATAAGTAATTCCAACTAAATATTGAAAATGAGCTGCTTGTTCAAATTCTTGGATATACATAAAGCAATCAACTATTTCATTTTTATTTTTTAACCATACATCTAATGAATTTTCATAAATAATTTGGTTTAATGCATCACTAAAGAAGAAAATATTTACTGGATTAAGTTTAGAATCATTGTTTGGAACTAAATTTTTAAATGATAATTTACCATCTATCATTTTTTTAAGAAGGTATGAATAAATATTTTCTTTATTTATAAGAACATCATTAAATGTATCAGTTCTTGATAATAGTCTTATTAGATCAGAGACATCATTATTAATAAATCCATCGATATGGCTTACACATATTTTAATAGCTTGTTTAATAGATATTCCATCATTTGATTTTCTAGCAGCATATATTACAAATACAAGTAATTCTGATATTAAATGAAGGTCATGAACATTACCCATTAACTCAAGAACTTCTCTTGCAATCATTTTATTATCATTAAACATTCCAACAATTTCATTAACGAGTGTTGTTGACCATCCATGAATTTTAATTAAATTAATTTCATTTGATGCTTTAAATAAAATAAGTAAAATTAATTGAATAATAGATTCATCCTCAACCATCTCAACATATTTAAGTACTCTAATATATTTAAATAAGGCATCCCATTTTTCTGTATTATCTAACATTTCTAAAAATTCTTTTTGAAGGAATTGATTAAATAATTTTAATATAGCAGCATTATAATTTGTTAATGCCATGTCAATAATGTCTCTTCTAATTGGAAAATCTCTCATAATATCATGAAATAATTGAATTCTAGCTGAAGTATGCTTGTATAATTTAATATTTTCCATTGCTTGAGTAAATTCATTTCTATCACTTTCTTTTTCAATAAAAATATTTTTTTGTCCATTAAAACTTCCAACATTAACACTCATTCTTCCAAGTTTTGTTGATGATAAATTAAATAAATCTTTTGTCATCGATCCATTCATAGCAATTCTTAATACTTTTTTTACATAAGAATGTCCATCAATTCCTAAAACAACAAGACAATCATTAAAAGAAGTATGATTATATTTTTCTGCTTCTAACTTATATACTTGATTTAATGTTATTTGAAATAGTTCATTATATAATAAATAAAGAATAGAACAAAGTTGTTCCACAGCACATTCTTTATGGTTATGTATTAATTCACAACAACATTTAAAATGTTTAATAATATAACTCTTATCTCCTTTAAATTGTTTAATTTCTTCAATATATAATTTCCATTGTTGAGTAGTATGAGTGTCAATATACATTTCATTATTATTTTGTTTAATACCTTTCATTTCATTTAATATATTAATAGGATATAGTGTTATTTCACTTTTCTGCATTTTTCTATAACTTTTTTCAAATAATGCATAAAATTGTTCATCGTCATTACATAATATAATTAATTCATCAAGTAATTTATTGTTTTTTTCTAATAAAAATTGAATAATATCTTTCGTTGTTTTTATTTCATTTCTATTTATTCCTTGTTTAATACATTCTATTTCAGCTTTAATAAGAATTGAATTTTTATTTAATCCTTTAATCATTTGACAATACTCTCCTAAAGGAAGTAAATCTTCAGTGTCTAGTATATTACTACATTCCTCAATAATATTTTTTAATGGTTGCGTAAGTTCTGGATTTTCTGTAATTAATTTATTTATAATTGTTGCTTTTATTTTTGCAATATCACTTGTTCTATGATAAACACATCTGATAAATTCACAAAAAAGTTGTGATGGTATTTTTTCTAAATGATACTTAGAAACAACTTCTCCTATTATTCCAAAATCTTTTAAATATTCTTCTAATGGTATTGAATCCCAAATATCTAATAAATGTGGATATTCTTTATGATAGTTTTGAGTTATAGAAAGATGATATATTTGTGGTGATTCATCATTGGAAGGAATATCTAATTGATTCATATCAAAGAAATATAATATTTCTGGTATAGTTCTTTTGAATAAATCTTTATAAAATTGTTCAGGAAGTTGTTTATTATTAAAAAATCCATATACTTGGAATTCATCAGATAACAAAGAACTATGAGATGGGTAATTTAGTGGTAATTTGTATTGTTCTTTTCTTTTATTATAAGAATGAGTTAATAATTCTTCTAATATTATTGTTTCAGTTGTAATTGGTAAATTATTAAGAACTTCAAGTAATTGATTAGTTTTTTTGTTAGTATAAGAATAAATAAAGCAAGTTATAATGTCTTTATTTTGAATACATTCTTTTAATGGTAATGTATTTATTTCAAATGGTTTTATTTGTTGATATGATATATTGTATTTGCCTGATGGATTATATTGATATTTAATTTTGTATAAATCAATGATATTAATATTTTCATTATTTGATATTGAAGTAATATTCTTTACATTTTTCATAAGTTCTTCTTCATCAAATTTAATACATTCTTTTGTATTTATATCTTCTATTTCCATCATCCATTCATTAAGGGGTTTAATATGATCTAAACAAAGTTCATAGAAAGGAATATATTCAATAGAAGTAGTTGGAGTGAAAAAATGTTCAAAAGATCTTTTTTGATATTCAACACAAGGAAAATGTTTATTTTTAAATTCTTTAGATAATGGAATAATTCTCATTTCCATCATAATATCTAGTAAGTCATTTTTTTCAATATATCCTAATGGACATAATAACTCTTCTTTACAATTGACATAATACTCTGGTAGTTGTGGTAATTCTAAAGCTTCAATTTTTAATGGAATAATTAATTTAATTTGTTTTGCAATTTCTTCTATATCTTCTTGTAATGTTTGAATTATTAAATTCATTGAATTAAGTTTTTCAGTTATTTCATTATTAGAACTGTTTCCATTTTCTGACAGCTCATCTAAATACTGTGTTTTTTCTTCCATAATTTCATTTAATTCATTCATTTTATTTTCTTTAATTTTTTGTAATTCAATTCTTGTATTTTCATTCTCAGCAATAATTGCTTTACGTCTTAAAATTATTTGTTTCATACATTCAACAACATTAATATGTTGTTCTTTAAATAATCCAATACTAGGAACCTTTTTATCAAATAACATAAACAATTCATCAACCTTAATTCCACACTCTTTTAATGCAAGTATACACCCTTTTAATATTAATGTATTACACGTATTTTGTTTAATAATTTCTAATTCTTCACAAATATTTTCATATCCACTTATTAATCCCATTTTAATAGCCTCTTTTATTTTAAGAGAATATAACATTTGTATCATTTGTTCTTTTCCAATATCACTTATTTTATTATTTATTTGAATAATTGGTTTTTCATATCTTTTTTCTTCTTGATTTTCCTCATTAAATCGTTTTCTTATTGGATATTTACTATCAATTATCTTTCTAATAAAATTCTGAATCTTTTTATCAAATATCTTTGTTTTATCTTCTTTAATGATTCGTTTCATTATTATTGTTCCTAATTCTAATGCTCTTTTAACAATAATACTAAGAGAATCTCCTGTTCCAATACTTTGTTCAATAATATTAATACTATCTAGAAGTTCTTGATAAGATGCTTGGTTAATACATTCATTAATATCCTCATCATTTTCTCTATTAATACTTGATAGTAACTTAGTAGTAAAATTAATTGAAATGTTGTTTAATTGTTTTAGTTGGTTGATTATATAATCAAACCCACATACCACAAGAGGGTGTAGAATGTCTATTGATTTAATATAATATAGAATAGTTTGAGTATTTTCAATTACTATAAATTTGAATTTATCTCCTTTTAAATATAATAAATTTTCACATTCCATAGTTGTATTATGAGTGTTTAAATTAATTAATTGATGTTTGTTATTTGTTGTAATAACTTGAATTATTCTATTATCAATGTCAACATTTTCTATTTGGTTTTTCATATTAATCCACTCTCCCTTAGGTTTATTTGAATATTGTATTGATAATGTAATATAATCCTGAAGATATGTTTGAATAGAATAAGGAATATATTCATCATCATTTTCATCATTTTCTCCAATTAATTGAAGATCCTTAGGATCATAAAGATGTTCCATTTCTTCAATAAAACTTTCTTGACGAAAAGGAATAGCACCATTAATCTGACATATTCTAATTCCATTATTATTTATAATCCAATATTCTAAAAGATTATCTTTTACTTCTAATTGTACATTACCTTCTAATTCTTGTTCTTTAAGCCCAATATCTTTTAAGTTAAAATGATAAGACATTGACTTTCCTTCAATGAAACAATCAATACAAAATAATTCACCATCTTCTTTTAGTACAAATAAACAATTTTGTTTCATAGTAATAGCTTTCACATTATATAAAGGTTTCAACCTATTTTGTCTTAAATTATGAAAAATAAAACATTCAACAGTGTTACTTTGTTTAACAATAACAACAAAAATTTCTTTGTATGAATAAATTGAAATATCTTTAAATTCATTTAATTTCATTAATGGGGAAGGAGGTGTTTTATCATCAGCAATACTAATAATTCCTCCTTTCCTCAAAACAATCATTTCATTTCCATTAAATAAAAACCATTCAAATTCATCATAAGGTTCAAATGTTATTGTTTTATTTTCTTTAAAAATTTGAATGATTTGACCTTGTTGAATACCAGTCATTGTACCTTTTGGAGAGATTTTATATTTGTTTATACTCACTTCAAATGTGTTGGTTTGTAAGATAAATCGATTCATGAATTGACAAAATAAAGAAATTGTTAGATCTTTAAGTTAATGAATGTAATAATTTTGTTATTATTATTTATAAGTATTTTTTTATTATAACTTTTAGTTCAACTCTAAATCACTATTTTCATTCAAAGTCATAATGAACGTTGAACTACTCTTTCAAAATTTATTATCTTCAAACAACGAAATACGTTCAAATGCTGAAAAATTATATAACTCATTACTCTCTCAACCAACTACATTAATCTCTACTCACATTCAAGCACTTAATTCTAACGATCCTAATATTCGTTTATTATCTGCAAATTTATTATCTCGTAATTTTTACAAAGCACAACCCTCATTATATCATTATTTAACTGATGAACAAAAACAACAATTCAAATTATTTTTAATTCATCTCCTTCAAAGTGATTCTCCTCCAGCACTTCTTCGTGCTTATTCATCATTACTTTATGATACTTTTACTGTTTCTCCTTCATTTCCAGAACTTCTCCCTGCATTAAAGTCAATGTTTACATTTCCGTCCCCACAACACCGATCAATAGCATTGTCTACAGTTGCATTATTAATCATCTTTTCAGAACCAAGTGTAGACTTCATTCGTGAATCTCTTAACTCTGCAATAAAATTGTTAAATGATGTTAGTATTGTTGTTGTTTCTTCATTACAATTATATAAATCAATCATTGAAGTTTGTGAAGAAGAAGGAAAAGAATTTACTGAAGAAGTTGTATCACATTATCCTCAATTCTTAGAAGCTGCAATTCATGTGTTGGAAACAGATAGGTTAAATGCACAAAGTTGTATAGAAGTTATAAGTGAAATGAATGAAACATCAGCATTATTTAATGATTATTTAAAACAAACATGTACATTCGCTTTATTAGGTGTAAAATTATTAGGAAGTGATGCCATTCCTTCAATGGAATGTCTTGCTGTTTTATGTGAAACTTATAGAACATTAGGTGATGCTTTATTACCTACAATGAAGTATTTGTATCAATGGCTTTGTACAATTCAAGATAATCCTGAATGGTATCAATTTAAAGAAGAAGAAAAAGATAGTTTATGTTCTGCTGCAGAAGAATTTATGTTTAGATTTAGTTTTTTTAAACCAACAAAAGAAGTATTAAGTTTAGCCCCTTCAAATCCAACATGGCAACAAGCTAGGTCATTTATTTTTATGGTTTCACAAATCGTTTCAATAGATACTTCTTCATTATATGCATCTATCCCTCAAATATATCAATCATTTTTATCAATTATTTCTCTTCATCCAAGAGTTACTTATGAAGTCTTGGTTTTTGCCAATAGAGTTCTTAAATCATATCCATCACTGAGAAGTACTTTTGAACCAATTGTATGTCAGTTAATAGCAACAAACATTAATTCTCCAATTCCAAAAATTCAAGCAAGAACGTGTGACTTCTTATCCTTTTTTATTGACTCTGCATCAACAGCTCTAATGAAAGAAAAGATGGAATCAATTATTTCAATGTTACAACCATTATTACAATCAAGTGAGTTACATGTCCTTTCATCTGCAATTTGTGCAATATCTTTTCTTGTTACTAGAGTCCAAAAATTATTTACACGTTATGCATCTTCATTTTTAAATGGTTACTTCCAATTATTAAATAAAATACCAACAACTTATGAATATTTTGAACTTCGTGGAAGAATTATTGAGTCTATTAGTATTATTGGATTTTATCTTAATAGTTCAGAACTCACTTTGTTTGCTCAAAAATTAACAGAACAATTATATGTGTGTCTTTCTTTACCAAATATAAAAGTAGATGATCCATTACTTGGATATATAGAAACAATTATTATAAGAATGCTTCCCTTGTTAAAAGAATATTTCTATCCATTTATTACTAAATTTCTTCCTTTTTTACTCCAACGATGTAAAATACAAATTCCAATTAAAAATGCAAGTGGATTATCTGAAGAGAAGAAAAGTGCTATGGGATGTTTATCTGTATTGATTTCTGAAGCACATAAATTGTTACTACCAGTAATGAATCACGTTATTGAAATCATTGTAACAGAATCAAGATCAATTAACATTAGTATTGCTTCTATTGCTATTAATGCTGCTGGTTCATTATTTATTATATTATATCAAGATCAAAGAAGTCCAGAAATAGAACTTACTTTACAAAGACTAGTTGCTGTATTAGATTCAGGGTGTCATTCATTTGATTCTGAGTTATGTTCTGCGGGAATAGGAACATTAGAAAGAATTATATCTCATGACATTCCATTAGATAGTAATATTGTTATGTCAAATATTGCAGCTGCTTTGAAACATTTAGAACAATTTAGAGAAGTTGGCAAAGTAACAGAAACATTATTGTCTGCTTTATCTACATCAATTGTTTTGGGTTCGATGAGTAATGCATATGCTAATTATATTCATCCAATTATTTTGGAGAAGTTAAAAGGATCTTCTTCTTCACGAGTTGTTGCAATGAGAGTATTAAAAATTGCTATTAGGGATTGTGGATTAAAAACTCCAGGAATTATTGAAGGGTTAAATGACTCTTGTATTGCTGTAAGAGATGCAGCAATAAGTGCATTAGTTGCTTCTTTTGAACGTGGATTTGAGAATATTGAAGAAGTATTAAATAGGTTATGGAAAATGGTAAAAGAAGAAACGAATGAATATGTCCAATCTAAAGCAGTCAGGAAATTAGGAAGAATTATTTTAGATCTTAAACTTCCTGAACAAGCTAAAGAATGGTTAAAATATTTACCTATTAAAAATAAAAATGAAAAACTCTGTAATGAGTTATGTTTAATGTATATTAATGGTTTAATTAATTTAGAACAAAACCACATTCCTAATCTTCTTATTATTCTTGCTGATAATTTCTTATATCGTTCTTATACAAAAGAAAATCTTATTATAATGAAACAAGTATTAACAGTAGTTTCAGAAAAGTACGATACTTTAACAAAACAATGTATTCAAAATATGAGTCTCGAAAGAAAAGATGCTCTTAATGAAATTATATCAAGTTAATTCAAATCAATTTCATATAATATATATTTCATTATTAAAAAAAAAAACAAAAATATATTACACATACATAAAATAAAATCAATGAAAAATAAGTTGATTAATAATTGATTCATAATATTCTATCATCATTTCATATTGTTCATTTTTTCTTCGTTCTTCTGAAAGTGATATTGCTAATTTGATTCTTAAATCTTTGACTATTTGATACTTACTTTTTATTTCTTCATATTCTTTTTTAAAATCTTTTTTTCTTTCAAGCGTATAAACTTTTTGTCTAAGGTATTTAATTTGACTTTTAAGTGTTAATATATCTTCTTCCATTTAACTATATAATTTTTAATATCAGATAAAGAGAATCATCACAAACCATCACTTCATATTAATACAACAAAAAATTAAATAAAATATTTTTATATTTAAACATATTTTTATAAACTTAAATTTTTAAAAAAAAACTACAAATAGAATATAAAATGAATGACTGGTTACTTCCTGCACATAAATTATGTCTTGAAAGATATGGATCAAACAAATTTCAAGCAATGGAACAATTATCAATAAACTCTAACCAAATAACGCAAACATTTAAAACATTAATTCCTTTAATTCAAAATTTTCATACAAAAATAGAAAATTTAAGAATTAATGTCCCCAAAGCTTCTTCATCAACTTCTATTTATCATGAACTTTTAGTAATTTCACATACAAATGAAGTGTTAATAGAAATATTTAAAATATATGTTTGTTAACATTTATTAAACAAATTCAAAAAGTATGAATAAATACTTATTTCATTTAGGAAAATACTTTAAACAAGTTATCTGTTTCATTAAAAAATAATAATTCATGGGGTGAAAATATTTCATCTATTCCTGATATTGCAATGCAACAAAATAATATGATATCCAATATTTCGTTATTTCAATCACTTTCTTCATACATTAATGACTTAAATCTTATTTCACATCAAATGGTCAAATTCAATAATATTATGGAGGAAGAAGATTCTAATGAATTAGAAACTGCTGTTGTATCAGTTATTAACGAAAGAAAGAAACTACTTAATACTAATTATTCACAGTCAACAGATGAAATTATAAAAAATGAAAACGAAGAAGTTCCTCTTCCTATTCTTAAAGCTATGTATGGAATTTATTTCACACCAAGATCTCTTGAAGGAGTATTTAGACAATGCGCTGACTCAAAAGCATTAGAAAGTTACACTAAACTAATTGGTGTTATTGATGTACAAGCAACAGATGTAGTAAATCTTTCAGGAGTAATAAGAAAATTTTTAAGAAGCTTAAATACTCCTATTTGGCCTCAACGATTACTTCAACCAATGTTAAGTATTACTATGAGCAATAGTACTAATGAAGAAGTTTGGGTTGACAAAATACGTGAACTAACATGTCAATTACCAAAAACAAATGCAAGTATTCTGAAACATTTATTAGCTCTTTGTGGAAGAATAACAAATTGTCCTGAATCAAAAATGGATAATTATAATATTGCAGTATGCCTTGGTTTATCAACATTTGTAAGTAAAAATGATATTCAAACCATTGGACCACAAACAGGATATATTATCAAAACATTTGAACTTATGATTAAGAATAAAGAAGTTATATTTACCGTTTGTTATTTCATAAAATATAATTAAGTTTGAATAAAATAATGAATAAAGAATAACAAATAGGATATAGATGATTGCTTTAAAAGAAGAGTTAATGATGTAATTACTCCTCCAATTTATCATGATATCTTCTTTAATAAAAGACAATCAATGTATTTCACAAGACATAGACCAAATCAAAATGAAACAAAAACAAGAATATTTAATATTGGTAAATATGTTGCAAAATCAACACCACTCAATTAATTGTAATTGTTTTGAATATTGTCATCTTTTTATTGGTTGTAATTAAAACCATTTATTGAGAATGGAACATGGTAAAGAAAATTATCCAAAATAGTAAGAACTCTGCTAAAGAAACGCCAAGACCTTCATTTATTGCATCTCCAATTGTTACTTCTGGGTCAAGTTCATCTAATGAATAATAAACAACAAAGAAATATGATATTAATATAACACATCCAAAACAAATAGCGAATCCTAACCATCCTTGAATTCCAATTATCCCACAAATAATTCCAACTATTGGAGAAACAAGAGATTTAATAGTAAAAATTGCATGACATACCGTTTTTTTAGTCCATTCATAATCAGGATCAAAGATATTACTCATTGAACTTAATATCTTTTTTTTATTTTAATTTTAAATTTGTTTTTTATTCTATTAAAATATAGTTTTTTACTAATTTTTATTAGTATTTTATAATAACCCTTCAGATATTTAAACCCCGTTTATCTCATTAAATTTGTCCCGCATCTTATCATCGTTACTTTTTAATTGTTATCAATATAAAAAGTTAGTAATGGATGCAAGAAAATTGAAATAGTATCTCCTATTACCTCATTGTTAATAGGTCGAATATTTCAAATATTAATTTTTATGTTTTTAATTCTTTATTACTTTATGTTAATAAAATTAACATTATTAACAAAATTTTTATTTATATTAATATATTTTTTAATATATTACTAATTCATATGTATTTAAACGATATTATTTATTTGATAAATACTTTATTTTATTGAAATGCAAAAAATTTTTATTATTAGTTTTAATGACTTATTAAAAATGAATAAAACCTTATTTTATATAAATCAATTATTAAATATATCTTCATTTGAATTGAATATTAAGAATTGATTATTTCTATTTCTTCATTATATTTTATTTATATTTATTTCAGTCATATGACAATTATTTGATTCACCTTTTAATATATTTAGAAAATTCGTTTCATAAAACATTAATTCTTTCATAGTTTTGATGGTTATTGTTTGTATAGTATTAATGCATTTCTAATTTCAACATTTTTAATCTTATTATAAATTCATTGTGTATTAAATTATTGGTGATATTAATGTGACTGTTTTTACTTATATTATTTCTCTGTTATGTCTTATACTCTCTTGTAATTTATTTATTTTCTTTACGTCATATTTCATTTAACTGAATGATATTCATTATTTTTATCATTTTATTTATTTCTGTTTTGATTTTGTTTTTTATTTTGATATTGTTTATATCTTTTTTGTGTGTTATTATAGTGTTTGTTTTTATTATGACACTATTGTTTATTTCTATTTAAGTTATTGTTAAAATATTTATGACGATCGTTATGAATGAAGTGATGAGTGAAACGATTTGTATCATCTATGTTGTGATAGTTATGGTAATAATTGTTATTGTAATGGTTAGTGTGATTATTCATGTATCTCTGTCCATACAGATAATACCTATTTTCACTCATTCTTCTATCATTTATATTTCTTGGTTGATATGAATTTCTTCTTCTTTGGTTATTTGTTTTTTTATATTTTTTGTGGTATCTATTGTAATGCATCTTTTTTTATTAAACTTTTTATTAAAAATTAAAACAATAAAAAACACTTTTTCTAAAACTTTTTGAATTATTCAATCACCTTTCTTTAATCAACTTCTTCCATCTTTGAATCTTCAATTGGTGTTTCTTCAACAGCTGGAACTGCTTCAGTTGGTTGTTCTTCTTCTTTGTCATCAAGAGACAATCCAAGTTTAACCATTCTATAAATTCTACCAGCAAATGCAGCTGGTTCATCTAATGAAAATCCTGATGATAATAATGCTGTTTCAAATAATAATACAACAAGATCCTTAACAGTTTTATCACTATTATCAGTATGGACTCTCTTTCTTAATTCTTGAACAATTGGATGATCTGGATTAATTTCAAGTGTTTTCTTAGAAACCATGTATGTACTCATAGAGTTATCTCTTAATGCTTGTGCTTTCATAATTCTTTCCATATTAGCACTCCATCCATATTCTCCTGTAACAAGTGCACATGGGGAGTTAACTAATCTATTAGAAATTACTACTTTTTCAATCTTATCTCCAAGAATTTCTTTAACTACTTTACTTAATTCTTCATTATCTTTTTCTTTAGCTTCTTGTTCTTTCTTTTCTTCTTCAGTTTCTTCTACTTTAATTCCATCCTTAGTAATACAAACAAGTTTCTTTCCGTCAAATTCTTTAAGTTGTTGCATAGCATATTCATCAATTGGATCTGTCATGTAAAGTACTTCAATTCCCTTCTTAACAAATCCTTCAACAAATGGTGATGTTTCAACAGCTTTCTTACTTTCTCCTGTAATGAAGTATATTTCTTTTTGATTTTCTTTCATTCTTGCAATATAATCTTTGAATGATGTCATATCTTCTCCACTCTTTGATGAATAGAATCTAAGTAATTCTGCAATTTTATCTCTATTTGTTGAATCTTCATGAATACCTAATTTAAGATTCTTTCCAAATGCTTCATAGAATTTTTTGAAATCTTCTTTATTTTCTGATATTTCTACAAATAATTCAAGACATTTCTTTACAAGATTCTTTCTAATAACTTTAAGAATCTTATTTTGTTGTAACATTTCTCTTGAAACATTCAATGGAAGATCTTCTGAATCAACTACTCCTTTAATAAATCCTAACCATTCAGGAATTAATTCTCTACAATCATCCATAATAAAGACTCTTCTTACATATAATTTAATATTATTTGGTTTCTTCTTAGTTTCAAACATATCAAATGGTGCTCTTTGTGGAACAAATAATAATGCTGTAAATTCAATTTGTCCTTCAACTGAAAAATGTTTAACTGCAAGATGATCTTCCCAATCATTTGAAATAGTTTTATAGAATGATGCATATTCTTCTTTTGTAATTTCACTTGGATTTCTTGTCCAAATTGGTTTTTGTTTATTAACTTGTTCCCATTCATGTGTAACTTTCTTTACTTTCTTTGTTTTCTTTGCTGGTTTTTCTTCTTCTTTCTTATCATCTTCAATTTTAACATCTTCTTCCTTTTTGTCTTCTTCTTTTGTTTCTTCTTCTTTCTTTTCTTCTGCTTCATCATCTGTTACTTCTTCTTCAGTTTCTTTTGTAACATATAACATAATTGGATATTGAATAAATTCGGAATGTTTCTTAATAATTTCTTGAATCTTCTTTGTTTCAAGATATTCTTGCATATCTTCTTTAAGTTTTAAAATAATCTTTGTTCCTCTCTTTAATCTTTCTCCACTTTCATCAAGTGTAATTGTATATTCTCCTCCTGCTGATGATTCCCAAATATATTGTTCATCATCATTATTTTTTGTAATAACTGTTACTTTCTCTGCAACAAGATATGATGAATAAAATCCAACTCCAAATTGTCCAATCATAGAAACATCAGCTGTTCCTTCAATAATCTTTGACATGAATGTCTTTGTTCCTGATCTTGCAATAGTACCAAGACAATTAATTAAATCTGCTTTTGTCATTCCAATACCTGTATCTTCAATAATTAATTGTTTATTATCTTTATCTGCTGTAATTCTAATTACTAATTCTGGTTCAGCTTCAAGAACACTCTTATCTTGAAGTGATTGATATCTAATTTTATCAAGTGCATCTGAACAATTTGAAATTAATTCTCTTAAGAAAATATCTTTATTTGAATAAAATGCATTAATAATCAATGATAATAATTGATTAATTTCTGCTTGGAATTGATATGTTTCAGTCATTTCTTCTTCTAATGATTGATCTTTTCTATTTCCCATTTAAATACTCTTCTTTTGTCTACGATGTAATTGTAATACACCACGTCAGCTCTCGTTGTCATTTGCTCTTCCTTCATTTATTTATTTTCTTCTCGTCTTCTTTTACTTTCTTTTCCTATTTTTTTACTATATTTCTTCCTCTTCTTTTCTTTTTTTTTTAGGTTTTTTATTTAGGGTTTCCCTTTCCACGTAGTGCTTTCTTATGAGATGACTTATTTTTAATGATGTGTATTTTTTCTAAAACATTTTTTAAATAACAATATTTCTCTCTGTTGCTAGACATTGGAACTTGTTTTTTTTTGTTTTTCTCTCCTCTTTATCATGACCACTTTTACCATTTATATAGATGATGAAGCAATGCCTTCTTCTAGTGATTATAGTGTACCAGGTAGTCCTGTAGCTAACTTTTCAAGAAGAGAAGAATTCAAAGTTTTATGGAAACAATACATTGATGATTATGATTTTCATACTAATCAATTTATAAATATTCATATTTTTAAGTCAACAGTTCAACCAGAACGATCTGATCCATCAAACCATGATGGTGGAAAATGTTGGATAACAACAAGTCGTTCTTTTGTATTAGAAAGTTTTGAAGCAATGGTTGATGAATTATTATTTAATGATTGTTCATTTTTTTCAAGTATTAATGGTATTACAGCTTGTTTAAAAACAGAAACAAATTCAACGATGGGGATTTGGATTAAAAGTTGTGAACAACATATCATTCATTCATGTAAACGATTTATAGAAGAAGGAAGTAAACAAACTGAAGTAATGTTTGAAAAACACAAAGATGAAAACCAAAGACGACCATCATTCTTTAGTATGTTAGCGGATACGGATGAAATAAAAAAAGAAGGAAATGAAACTAAAAGTCCTGAAACGGAAAACAAAAATAAAAAATCAATAGAAGAAGTTGAGGGGAAAATAATACAAGAAATATATGAAAGACCAAAAACAAAGAAAATTGAAGAAGGATTTAATGAATTAATGGAAATAGCTGATCCAGATGATTTTTTACAACAATTTGTTGAAGCAGAATTAGAATTATCAACAGAAGAATTATGGGGTGATATTTATGAAGCAAATAAAATGTTATTTATTGCACCATCAACAACATTAGAAATTAAATTACGTTCATTTCATAAAATACTTAATTATTCAGGTATAATGACTGATTGTGGAAAAAGAAAGAAAAGTGGAGAGAAAAAGGTAAATCCAGTACGAGTGAGTAAAAAAATTAAAGAAAGTTTCACTAGTTCAGAAGATACATCAAGTACAGAAATTAATGATTCATTTGGATCACTTTCACTTGAAGCAGTTACTCCAGACACAACATTTGATGGAGCTACATTACCAGATAAAATAATTCAACATTCATTAAACACAAAGAGTCAACGTGCATCAGAATGTATTGATTCGAAAGTAATTAATAATACAAACGAAGCAAAAGAAAGAATAGAAGAAATAAAAGTAATGAAAGAAAAAGAAAATAAAAAAATAGATGAATTTGAAATGAAGGATATTACTATTCCAACAATGGTTAGTAAAGAAAGTGAATCAACAATTGAATCAAGTGAATCAATAACTAAATTTAAATTAAATGCAAAACCATTCACACGAAAAAACAAAACAAAAACAACAGAAAGTTCTATAGAATCACAATCAATAGGAGATATTTCTGATGAAAGTAGTATTATTGAAACAGGAGTTATTTCTGATGAAAATAAGCCAAAAGTAAAAATTAATATAGATTTAACAAAACCAATTAAGAGTTATATCCCTCATCATTTAAAAGAAATAAAAGAAAAAACATCAAAAGAAGTAAAAGAAGAAACGTCTTTAAATCACGAAAAAGGTATAAAAGATACTGAAGATAATATTAAAGAGAAAAAAGGAACAAAACAAAAGTCAGAAACAAAAAAAGAAAATAAAAAAACACATAAAAAAGAAGAACGAAAGAAAACACGGTTTATTGAAGTCCCTATTCAAAGAGATATTGCAGAACCAATTATTCAAACACCAATACAAATAGAGTCTAAGAGTAATGATAAAGATAATATTGGATTTACAGAAGTTCCATATCAAATTGAAAAAACAGAAACAACACATAATAAAACAAAATCAACAACAACTGTTTTAGAAAAACCAATTGCAATAAAAACACAACGAGAAAAAGATATTAAAGGTATTCCAATGGTATCAAAATCACCTGGTATTGAAAAAACAAAGAAAAGTTTATTATTAATGAGAAGAACAAAAAAATCAATACCATCAACTCCTGGAGAAGTTAAACGAAAACAAAAAAGAGAGAATGGAGGTAATGAAGTAAAATTTGAACCTATGAGAAAACATAATCCAAATAAAGTTATGGAAATTGATAAACCAAAAAATGAAGGAAATGAAACTGAGTCTAGAACAGTAGTTACACCACCAACTCGACTACCATGGCATATTAGAATGTTAAAAAAAGCAAGTGAGAGTGGAGAAGATTTTGTATTAGTATTTAAATATCATACTCAAATAGTTGTTATTGTAATTACTGTAATGATACTAACCACACTAATGATCATAGGGTTAATGTATTTAATCAATGTAGAATCAAGTTATGATGATTAAATATGATAAATACAGAAAATTCAATGTTTTTTCAATCAAAATTTTAAGAATTTTTATTTAATTGATGAGTTGAGAAAAATAATAAAAAGAAATAAGAAAAAAAACTATAGAGGAAAGATAAACTAAAAAACCCTGTTAATTGAAAGATGCCAAAGAGAGGAGCTGGAGGAAGACAAGGAAATAAATTCCGAGTTACTTGTGGTTTAAATAATGCATCAACAGTTAACTGTGCAGATAATACTGGAGCTAAAACACTTACTATTATTTCAGTAAAAGGATTCCATGGAAGATTAAATAGACTTCCAAGAGCTGGATGTGGTGATATGGTTGTTGCAACATGTAAAAAAGGTAAACCAGAATATAGAAAGAAGATGCATACAGCTGTCATCATTAGACAAAGAAGAACATGGAGAAGAAAAGATGGAGTTACATTATATTTTGAAGATAATGCAGCTGTTATTGTTAACATGAAAGGAGAAATGAAAGGATCAGCTATTACTGGACCAGTTTCAAAGGAATCAGCTGATTTATGGCCAAAGATTTCATCAAATGCACCAACTATTGTTTAAGCTAGTAATGTTTGGTCAAGTTCGATTTATTTGTGAAGTTTTGGTTTCTTGTATTCAATCTTTTTTTTTTATTATTTTTCATTCATTTAATCAAACATTTAAAGCATAACAATCTTTTTATTTAAACATTATTGTTGAAGAAGTTTAAATATATTTCTTATTAAGACAGTTACATTTTTGATAACTTCTTCTTTTTTCATAGCATCTTCTAATGTTATTGGTTTGTTTTGTATACAAAATACACTTAACAATGGATCAATGGTATTAGAGTCGACTTCCACTGCTCCTCCTATTGCAATTACTTTTATTTTGTATTTTTGAGCTCTTTTGAGTATTCCACAAAGTACTTTTCCCATAAAACTTTGTTCATCTATTCTTCCTTCTCCAGTGATAATGTATTGTGCATCTTCTATGATTTGATCAAACTGAAACAAGTCCAATATTAATTCAATTCCTGGTTTTAATTCTGCATTTAAAAACCCAATAAATCCTCCTCCAAGTCCACCAGCAGCACCTGTTCCTGGGATTTGATTAAGATCTATCTTTTTTACTTTTTTAATTACTTGAGCAAAATGTTCTAATCCATTATCTAATTGTTGTATCATTTGATCATCTGCACCTTTTTGACGACTATAGATAAATGCAGCACCATTTTTACCATAAAATGGATTATTTACATCACATGCAACTATTATAGGGATATTTAATATCTCTTTAGAAACACAACTAGAATCTATAGACTCTATTTGATTTAAAATTTCACCTCCAACTCCAAGTATTTTATTCTTAGAATCTTTAAACTGAAATCCAAGTGCTTCTAACATACCTGTTCCTCCATCATTTGTTCCACTCCCTCCAATTCCAACAATAACTTTCTTCACTTTTTGATTAATTACAGCATCATATATCATTTCTCCAACACCAAATGTAGTTGTTTTGAGAGGATTTCTTAATTCTTTTGGAATAAGTGTTAATCCACTACAACTTGCCATTTCAATTATTGCAATATTCTCATTGATTATCCCATATTCACTTTTCATCTGTTCCATTAATGGTCCATGAACAATCGTTTGTATTCGTTTTCCTTTGAGTCGTCTTATAATACTATCCATTGTTCCTTCCCCACCATCTCCTAATTCAAATGTTTTAATTACATAATTTGGATAAATACTTTTTAATGATTGTTTAATACACTCATTAATTTCATTTGAACTGATACTTCCTTTAAATGAGTCACATGCCACAACAACTTTCATTATAACAATGTTTTTTAGTTATTTTTTTTGATAGTTCATAATAAAAAATAATAAAGATGATTAGAAAAAACATAATATAATGTTTGAGAGTTTGATAGGAAATGGTAAAAGATTTTTATAAACTGATAAAGGAGTTATTTCATAATAAAGAAATGCAAATGATTTAGGATTATAAATAATCTTAAAAAGATAATCTTATAATTACCAATGATACTTGGTGTATCACTTCTTTTTATCTTATTTATTGGATTATTTTTTATTAAACAAAAATATATAAAAATGTATAGTAAGGAATCAGCATTAAGTGTTTATTTAACAATACCAACATTATGTAGTCTTTATCTATCATTATTGGTTGATGTAGTTACTGAAGAATTTGCAGGGTTGAGAATGATAATATTCATTATTACTATCATTTCTATAGTTGTTTTATTAATTGTAATATATCCTTATTGTTTTCTTCATCATTATGGATTAAAAAAGTGGAGTATGATTGGGTTATTATTCCATGTAATAGTGATAGTTATTATAAGTTCATTAATTCATACTGAACGAGGGATATTTAGTCTATATGGATTATTAGAGAAACTAGCAGTCATTGGAATTTTCATCTCTGCAATATTATCAGGATATTCTTCGATTCAATTACCTATGAAACACCTTGATCCATTCCATAAAAGATATAGTGATGAACAAATTAAAACAAAATATGCACAACTTAAATTCATGGAACAACGAGGTGAAACATCAAGTGAATTATATCAAATGGTTTATAGAGAATATGTTATTATGTGTGAAAGTCAAAGAGCATATAAGAAAAAGAAAGGTGTTGTTGGAATATACAACAAAACATATGGTGGAATAATGAGTGTATATTGTATATATAAATTAATGAATTGTATTATTCATGTTATTGGATTAACTCATTCAGATGGATCAAGTTGGATTACAAAAGTATTATCCATTATTACAAAATTTATTCATATTGAAGTAGATTGGGATAGTGTAGCACAAATATTATCATTTGGGATGGTAGGAATATTAGTTATTACTGGTATTAAAGGATTATTATCTAAAGCTATTAAAATTATAACATCTTGTAATAATTTAAGTTCAGAACGAGTGAAAGGAAGTATTGTTGTTGGTACATGTTATTTTTTAACGATATACTCATTATCATTTATCATTATGTCAAGATCTAATCTGGTTGCTTCATCACATTCAGTTATTTATAATATATTTCAAGATATTGATTATAACACATATACATCATTCTCAGATTTAATATTTTTCTTTTCAGCATGTTTTTCACTTCTTTTCTTTTATTGTAAGAACAGATTTGGGTGGTTTGTTTCTTATAAACAAACCTATTTACCAAGTTAAGAAAGGAATCTTATAATTTAATAACAAGATTATGCCTCAAAAAGTTTTTTATTTTTGTGGAGATTTGAAAATAAAGAACAAAATCGAAAAAAAAAAAAAAACAAAAAAAAAATAAATATAGAAGAACAAAAAATTGTAAAAGAAATGGCAAAATTAAGAGAATTAATCCTTAGTGTTCGTAGTGCTAAAACAGCTGCAGAAGAAAGAGAAATTATTACTAAAGAGTGTGCAGTTATTCGATCATCAATGTCATCAAATAATTTAACAATAAGACATAGAAATGTTGCTAAGTTAATTTATATTCAGTTATTAGGATATCCAACACAATATGGACAAATGGAATGTTTAGCATTAATTTCTTCACACCATTATTCAGATAAAAGAATTGGATATTTAGCATTAATGTTATTATTAGATGAAACTCAAGAAGTATTAACATTGGTTACAAACCATTTGCATAATGACTTATTATCACAAAACCAATTTATTGTTGGACTTTCATTAACTACAATATCAAATATTGGTAGTGAAGGTATTGCTCAAGATGTTGCATCAGAAGTAGAAAAATTAATGTCATCACCAATTAATTATATTAAAAAGAAAGCTGCAGCAGCTGCACTTCGTATTATTCGAAAATGTCCTAGTTATTCAGATATTTATGTTCAAAAAACTAAAGCTCTTATAGTAGAAAGACAACTTTCATTACAATTATCAGGAGTAACACTTGCAATTGAATTATGTAAATATTTACCTAATGCAATTGGAGAATTTAGAAAATTAATTCCTAATTTATTAAATAACTTAAAATTACTTGTTCATTCATCATTTATTCCTGATTATGATGTTAGTGGAATTACACATCCATTCCTTCAAACAAAATTAATTCAATTATTAGGTATTCTTGGACATGATGATAAAGCTAATTCATCATTAATGTATTCAGTTCTTAACTTTGTTATTGCAAATACTTCTAATAGTAGAAATGTAGGAAATGCTATTTTATTTGAAACAGTTAAAACAATTTTAAGTATTGAAGCAGATGAAACATTACTTCATAATGCAGTTGATGTTCTTATTAAATTACTTAATGGAAAAGATTCTAATTTTAAATATGTTGCATTAGAATATCTTCAATATCTTCTTGAATTTGTAGGTACATCTATTCAAAAACATAAAAGTGTTATTGTTGAATGTTTAAAAGATAGAGATCATGCTATTCGTAAAAGAGCATTAGACTTAGTATATTCATTAGTTAATGAATCAAATGTTGTTGGATTAGTAAAAGAACTTCTTTCATTCCTTCAATTGTCAGATATTCAATTCAAACAAGATGTTGTAATTAAAATATGTTGGTTAACTGATAAATTTGGACCAGATATAAAATGGAAATTTGATTCAATGTTAGAAACAATTACTCTTGCTGGTGATATTGTTCCAGAAGAAGTTACATGGAATTTTATATTATTAATTCAACAAAATATTGAATTACAAGGATATGCTGTTCATAAATTATTTGAAGCATTAAAAAAAGATGTTAGTAAATTAGCTTTAAATAAAGTTGCTATTTGGGCTATTGGAGAATATGGAGATTTATTAGCTATTCAAGAAGGACAATTTGCTGGTGTACAACCAAGCACAATGCTTGATTTAATTATTTCAATTGATGGAACTGGTTTTTCTGATTCTACAATTAAAGGAGAAATTCTTATTGCTTTAACTAAATTATCTGCTCGTATTCCTTCTCAATTTAATCAACGAATTCAAGAATTTATTAATATTTATAAAACAAATATTGATGTTGAATTACAACAACGTGCAATTGAATTTAGTCAATTCTTTTCATATGATGATTTAAGATTAGACGCTGTTAACAGAATGCCAATCCCTGAAAATCTTCATCAAGAAACACATTCAAATCAAATGTCTCAAACTACTATACCAACTCAATCTCTTCCAACTGTCTCAACCGAATCTTTGAAAGAAACAACTCTTGTTTCTCAACCTCAACCTAATCAATCATTCAAAAAAGAAGAACCTAAAAAAGATGATTTATTGGATATTCTTGGTATTTCTTCTACCCCTATTAAATCAACTCCTTCTTCATCATCACAACAATCTACTAACTTATTAGATTTACTCACTGGACCATTACCTATTAATCCTACTCCTAATCCTACTATGAATACTATTATTAATCCTACTACCACTCCTGCAACTCAGCCATCAACTAATTTAAATAATTTACTTCAACCAACTTCATCTACTCTCCAAACTCCACAAAATGATATTCCATTACAACAACAAGTGAATAATACAAATAATCTTATTATTCAAGCATTAAATAATAATGGAGTAATTGTTCAATTCAATATCAAACCTGAAGAACCTAAATATCTTGTTCATGCTACTTTTACTAATACTTCTAATTCTCAATTAACAAACTTTTCTATGAAGGTTGCAGTACCTAAGTGGATTGAGTTACAACTTATGAGTCCCACTAGTAATACTCTTCAACCATTATCCATTGATCAAGTTACTCAAGATTTAATTCTCACAAGAATGGTTACTGATAAGCCAGTAGTTGTGAAAATTAAAGTTCTTTTCATGAGAGATGGTGTTCAAGCAGAAGAAAATGCCAATGTCTACATTTGCAATTAATTGAACAGAACTTGACTTTTTTATGTTTCATTTATTCTCTGTTTTTTATTACAGTCTTATTATTTGTCTAACTCTTTTTGAATGAACTTAATTTTGAATAAAGTCATCTGATTAAATAACTGATTTGAATTAATACTATCTTTTTTTTTACAACATCAATTATATCTGTTGTTCATCTTTGAATTATGTCTTTAAGTTATTACACACTTTTTAAAATTGGTTTTCTTCAAATTTTTGTACTTCTTTTCATTAATCCTTTGAGATTGTGTATTTGTTTGTAAAGAAAATGTCAGTGTAGATCTTCACATTGATATAATTTGCATGGAATATAAAACAGGAAATGATCAAAGAAGGAAGGTAAGATTTGAAAGTAATTATCATTATTATTGGAGGGAATTAGAAGTGGTATGGAAATACTGTCTAATAAATATTAATAGAAAAAAATATAAGTAGTGAATAAAATGTACAGATAAAGAATTAATTATATTAAATGATGTAAAATGTTAGTTTTAAATTTTGTCAATATTTGGTTGGAGATTATATTTATTTAATTTTTATGTTAAAATTGTGTTGTGTATAATGAAGGAATTGTTAGTCAAATAGAATTTTATTTGACACATTTCACGGTTAGAAAGAAAAATATATTTTTTTGTTCAAATTCTTTCTTGATGAAAATATGAAATGATGATTTTCATTTAATTAATACAATAATTGGGATTAGATTTGTATAATTGTTTTGTTTGATAAATTAGAATGAACATAATCATTCATTTCTGTATGTTTTATTTAGAGTATTTATTTAACTTCTTCTCTTTTAACACTATTCAATATATTCAATGTGTTATATTGAATATTGATGATTATAACATTTCATTCATATTTATTTCATTCACCTGATAAAATTGGTTTGATCATTCTTCATTTAAATTATTCTATCATTTGATATTTCATTATGTTAA